CCCCCCTTCGCTTCTGCAGACTAAACAGACCCAAGTCCCTCAGCCACCCCTCATAAGTCATATGCTCCAGCCCCCTAATCATTTTAGTTGCCCTCTGCTGGACCCTCTCCAATGCGTCCACATCCTTTTTGTAGTGGGGGGGCCCAGAACTGGACACAATACTCCCGATGTGGCCTCACCAAAGCCGAATAAAGGGGAATAATGACATCTCTGGATCTGCTGGCAATGTTCCTCTTAATGCAAGCTAATATGCCATTAGCCTTCTTGGCTACAAGGGCCCACAGTTGCCCATGGGACTGCTCTCCTGAATCAATGGAAGTTGGCAACTGCTGAACTGTTACTAGGTTCACTGCAGAGGACACTTGAGGCCCCATTTCTCCCCACACCCCTGAAGTGCTCTAGCCTTGTGGAGTCAAATGAAGACTATTTGGCTCAGGGCTGTACCACTGGCTCTCCCATGCCAGGGAGTGGCTGCTTCTACGTAAGCCTGGAGCTCTAAGGCGGCACCAGCATTGGGTGAATTTTCTGTACCTGAGTCTGACAATTGAGAACTTCTTCACTTTGTACAGGGTGCCCAAAGACCGAACCACCTACAGAGGAAAGAGGACAGTTACTTTCCTAGTTTCTCCAGCCTTCCCCAACCCTTCTTCCAGAGGAAGGATTCAGCAGGCCCCTTGGGCACAGAAGCATGAAGAACTGAACTGTGAACATCTGTCAGGTCCCCTGCCATCTCTCATATGCTGCTATTTCCTTTCACCTTAGGGGCGCTAGATTGGTGCTCTAGTAATCTGTGTATTATCTCCAGCTGTAGGGATCTGATTTGCTCCAATAGCCTCTACTTGTAGGGCACTAAGATCTCTGCTAGTGCTAGCAAATCTCCACTTTGCATGAGTCAAGTGACAGACCCAAGATATCAAGAGCCCCCATTCCCATACCTTAGCCATGAGGTGGTCATGAAGGAGCTCCTCAATCACAGAGTTACCATACCACATCATTTAGTTGGTCCAGAGGGCCCTGGCTGCGCACGCCACCGAATGCTGCAATCGAACCCAGCCTCAGAGCAGTAAAGGAGACCAACAGCTTTTCTGGTTCTAGATTCTCCAGGCTGAAACCTAGATGAGGGAGGCAAAAGGGCTGAGGTGTTCCCTGTGAAGGCATCCCTACAACGGTTACCTCAGCAAATGCAGTTTAGCCATGGAGCAGTTAAAGAAACAGGACACAGTAGTTCCCTGAACCCCAGTATGGGATGTATTGCTTAGGTCTACAAGCAAACACTTCTTCCCCTCAACACCCAATTTTGTTGGGTCACTGTATGTGGGTGCCAGATGTCACCTCTGGCAGACACATGCCACCTGGCTTTGTTATTGAAGTGCAGGTTTGACAGTACCTATGGCCATCTGGGAATGGAAATGAATTGAGGGAAGTTCTGCTCTACATGGTGTTGCATTGCAGTGACCGGTGCTCACCATTTGAGCGGACAGATGTGACATCCACTCTCCAGTCATAAAAGGTGTCCATTTTCCTTTCTACTTCTGTGACAACTGTACGGATGAGGTCTGAGTTTGTGGGAGCAGGGCCATCTTCCTGGAATAGAGCCTCGCTCTCAACAATGACAGAGCCATTCCTGTGAGGTCAAGGAAACAGTGGGTTAGGGGTGTTCTATTAACCTGATGGGCTGTATTTACATAGCACCTGATACCAGTCATCGCTTTGCAGAGGCTGTTCCAAAAGGACCCCCTTTTAAAATGAACTCAGCATGCCCTCCATGTATTAGTCAGCCAATTGCCACCTGCTGTCTGTTCTACTAGTGTGTTCCCAGCCAGTTTCTATTCCTTGGCAAGTCATCCAAACTGAGGTACTTGATCAAGAACGAGATCTGTTGGTTACTCCCTCCCCACTCCCACAAGGTTCACCCTCTCCCCTGGGTAGCTTACAACAAAAGCTAGCAATGGAACCAATGCACTCTTAAAGCCTAGTTTCTCAGTTGAATAGTACCTCCCCCAGACGGCATGGGGTGAGTTTTGTAAGATACTCACAAAAACTGGAGAATGTTCACTTGGAGGAAGTTCTTGTAGTTGGAGAACATCTTGTTTAGCTGGAAACAATAAGAGCCACTGGCTGAGAACAGATTGTTCCACAACAGCTACTTCATTGTCAACAGTGAGGGGTTACTGGAAGTGCAGTCAGACTTGTAAGAACATGGACTAGTTTGCACAGAGCCAGGGAGTAGTTATCACTAGTTCTTAGATTGGGAGTGAGTGGAGCTTCAGGGCAGACTAGTTAAGTATAGAGTCTAGGGGGATAGTCCATGTGGGTCTGGATTGTAACAGGAAATGCCATCTCAGCATTGCCATGCATGGAACAGAGTTTGCCTTACCACGGGCCAAGCACTGGAGCTACCTTAGCGATTCTCACCATAAGGGGACTGGAGACTAAAGCCCCTTGCTTACAGGTAGTCATGACCAACATTGGCCAAAGAGGCAACATGTGCAGGCCCGTGTGAGTGCAAACCTGTCCCCTCCCGACCCACGCTTGCCCAAGGGCCTGGTAAATCTGTTGGCCCTCCTAAGTGGTGCATTGGATACCAATCCACAGGAGTATTAGTTCAATACTCCCCCACACCAGCAAAGGTCTATCTAGCCCACAAGGAGACTTAGGAGAAGAGTCTAAATTGCTGATGACAAGCTACAACCAGGGAGCCACGTTAGGTTCTGGAAGCTGACTGACTTCTAAAGAGTTGGCTTTTAAGAATTCCACTTACAGTTAATTTCACTTCCTTCTCCAGCTTCTTGTAGACATCTGAAGACTTGTTCTTCAGGAGCTCTGTGTAGGCAGCCCCAAGGAGGCGGAACTGCAGAGGTAGGATATGCACAGGTGACTTAGGTCTGCTTGCTGGCCCACTCTTCGGCTTAGGGGAGAAGCTCGGTTTTGAAGCCTTGGATTCAAGTTTTGAAGTGTGACCCTTTTCGATTGTCGCCACCCGCTTGGCAGTCGCTGCAGCTGTGGCTGGCTGCAAGGCAGAACCTATTGTTCTAGTTAACACATGAAGGCCTGTTTTAGCTGTTGACCCATGTCGGGAGCTTAGAAGCAAGCGGGTTGACAAGACTGAAGTAGGGAGTCTAAGCGGTGTTGGTGCATTGCTCCTGTTCCAAGGCATCAGCTGAGTTGGCTTTGGTAGAATAGGAAGCTGCAGGCAAGGTGTGGCAGGAGTTCTGGCACTAGTTAGCAGGGCTGTTCTCTTTGCTGTGGGTAGAATTCTGGCAGCAGTGTGAAGGGAAGTCACCCCACTAGGTTTGGCTTCAGCGAGGGGCTGGAAAACAGGAGCCTTGGGTCCAGAAGTCAGGGGAAGGTTTGTAAGTTGTGCAGTTGTTCTTTGTGCTGGAGGCAGTGGCAGTGAAGCAGCTGTTCTGGTTTTGACTGGGGTAGCCTTGGACGCAGCTGTGCTGATTGAGGTCCGCCCAAGAGCAGGCGGTGTCACCCCACTGATGTTAGCTGCCTTAGTGGACACCTCTTTTACTTTGTGTTTTCCCAACATTGCTGAGGTGGGCTTCCATTCTGAAGGTGCAGCTCTAGCAGAGGCTGCCGGGACAGGCCTTTGAGTATGTTCCAGTGCAGTTGGGGTTTTTTTTGGCTGGGGGGGGGGGGGAGAAGAGAAGGAGCTCCTCAATCACAGAGTTACCATACCACATCATTTAGTTGGTCCAGAGGGCCCTGGCTGCGCACGCCACCGAATGCTGCAATCGAACCCAGCCTCAGAGCAGTAAAGGAGACCAACAGCTTTTCTGGTTCTAGATTCTCCAGGCTGAAACCTAGATGAGGGAGGCAAAAGGGCTGAGGTGTTCCCTGTGAAGGCATCCCTACAACGGTTACCTCAGCAAATGCAGTTTAGCCATGGAGCAGTTAAAGAAACAGGACACAGTAGTTCCCTGAACCCCAGTATGGGATGTATTGCTTAGGTCTACAAGCAAACACTTCTTCCCCTCAACACCCAATTTTGTTGGGTCACTGTATGTGGGTGCCAGATGTCACCTCTGGCAGACACATGCCACCTGGCTTTGTTATTGAAGTGCAGGTTTGACAGTACCTATGGCCATCTGGGAATGGAAATGAATTGAGGGAAGTTCTGCTCTACATGGTGTTGCATTGCAGTGACCGGTGCTCACCATTTGAGCGGACAGATGTGACATCCACTCTCCAGTCATAAAAGGTGTCCATTTTCCTTTCCACTTCTGTGACAACTGTACGGATGAGGTCTGAGTTTGTGGGAGCAGGGCCATCTTCCTGGAATAGAGCCTCGCTCTCAACAATGACAGAGCCATTCCTGTGAGGTCAAGGAAACAGTGGGTTAGGGGTGTTCTATTAACCTGATGGGCTGTATTTACATAGCACCTGATACCAGTCATCGCTTTGCAGAGGCTGTTCCAAAAGGACCCCCTTTTAAAATGAACTCAGCATGCCCTCCATGTATTAGTCAGCCAATTGCCACCTGCTGTCTGTTCTACTAGTGTGTTCCCAGCCAGTTTCTATTCCTTGGCAAGTCATCCAAACTGAGGTACTTGATCAAGAACGAGATCTGTTGGTTACTCCCTCCCCACTCCCACAAGGTTCACCCTCTCCCCTGGGTAGCTTACAACAAAAGCTAGCAATGGAACCAATGCACTCTTAAAGCCTAGTTTCTCAGTTGAATAGTACCTCCCCCAGACGGCATGGGGTGAGTTTTGTAAGATACTCACAAAAACTGGAGAATGTTCACTTGGAGGAAGTTCTTGTAGTTGGAGAACATCTTGTTTAGCTGGAAACAATAAGAGCCACTGGCTGAGAACAGATTGTTCCACAACAGCTACTTCATTGTCAACAGTGAGGGGTTACTGGAAGTGCAGTCAGACTTGTAAGAACATGGACTAGTTTGCACAGAGCCAGGGAGTAGTTATCACTAGTTCTTAGATTGGGAGTGAGTGGAGCTTCAGGGCAGACTAGTTAAGTATAGAGTCTAGGGGGATAGTCCATGTGGGTCTGGATTGTAACAGGAAATGCCATCTCAGCATTGCCCAATCCAGACCCACATGGACTAACAGGAAATGCCATCTCAGCATTGCCATGCATGGAACAGAGTTTGCCTTACCACGGGCCAAGCACTGGAGCTACCTTAGCGATTCTCACCATAAGGGGACTGGAGACTAAAGCCCCTTGCTTACAGGTAGTCATGACCAACATTGGCCAAAGAGGCAACATGTGCAGGCCCGTGTGAGTGCAAACCTGTCCCCTCCTGACCCACGCTTGCCCAAGGGCCTGGTAAATCTGTTGGCCCTCCTAAGTGGTGCATTGGATACCAATCCACAGGAGTATTAGTTCAATACTCCCACCCCAGGAAAGGTCTATCTATCCCACAAGGAGACTTAGGAGAAGAGTCTAAATTGCTGATGACAAGCTACAACCAGGGAGCCACGTTAGGTTCTGGAAGCTGACTGACTTCTAAAGAGTTGGCTTTTAAGAATTCCACTTACAGTTAATTTCACTTCCTTCTCCAGCTTCTTGTAGACATCTGAAGACTTGTTCTTCAGGAGCTCTGTGTAGGCAGCCCCAAGGAGGCGGAACTGCAGAGGTAGGATATGCACAGGTGACTTAGGTCTGCTTGCTGGCCCACTCTTCGGCTTAGGGGAGAAGCTCGGTTTTGAAGCCTTGAATTCAAGTTTTGAAGTGTGACCCTTTTCGATTGTCGCCACCCACTTGGCAGTCGCTGCAGCTGTGGCTGGCTGCAAGGCAGAACCTATTGTTCTAGTTAACACATGAAGGCCTGTTTTAGCTGTTGACCCATGTCGGGAGCTTAGAAGCAAGCGGGTGGACAAGACTGAAGTAGGGAGTCCAAGCAGTGTTGGTGCATTGCTCCTGTTCCAAGTCATCAGCTGAGTTGGCTTTGGTAGAATAGGAAGCTGCAGGCCAGGTGTGGTAGGAGTTCTGGCACTAGTTAGCAGGGCTGTTCTCTTTGCTGTGGGTGGAATTCTGGCAGCAGTGTGAAGGGAAGTCACCCCACTAGGTTTGGCTTCAGCGAGGGGCTGGAAAACAGGAGCCTTGGGTCCAGAAGTCAGGGGAAGGTTTGTAAGTTGTGCAGTTGTTCTTTGTGCTGGAGGCAGTGGCAGTGAAGCAGCTGTTCTGGTTTTGACTGGGGTAGCCTTGGACGCAGCTGTGCTGATTGAGGTCCGCCCAAGAGCAGGCGGTGTCACCCCACTGATGTTAGCTGCCTTAGTGGACACCTCTTTTACTTTGTGTTTTCCCAACATTGCTGAGGTGGGCTTCCATTCTGAAGGTGCAGCTCTAGCAGAGGCTGCCGGGACAGGCCTTTGAGTATGTTCCAGTGCAGTTGGGGTTGGGGCAGCAAGCAACGCACGCCCTGTTCTGTTCAGGTACAGGGAAGTGGAATGGGTCTCCACCATGCCACTTGTATCATTTTTAGAGGGCAACACAAGGACGGTCTTTCTCTGTGGAGAAGTCGGCACCTGTGGCCCTCGCCAGAGGGCCGTCCTGCTAGGCAGAGACGTGGTTGAGTGGGATAGGACCAAGTCAGCTGGGGTGGATGGCTCTCTCCTCATTCCTGGTCTACGGAGTGAATACGGCTTACGTGCTGGCTGAGCAAGTGGCTTTGCTGAACTGGAGCGGGAAAGCAGCTCGGTTGTCGTAGCACCACTTGACATGCTGAGAGGGAGCTCGGAGGAACCAGGAGGTACTTCAGTCTGCTCTTTCGTAAGGGGCGTCACAGTTTCAGCCAATCCCCCATGGAGGATGGCACTGGTGATGTTTGCAGCTGTCCTGCCTCCTGAGACACTAGGGGAGGTCTCAGGGCAGCAAGCAGCCGTACTGGACTGAGTTCTTGGGCCTGTGCTAATAGGCAGCATGTGGGGTGGAGAATAGGCTGCAGTATCTTCATGCAAGAAGGCTGCAGTAGGCTTCACACTGCTTGTGACTGCAGGGTAGGTCAGTGCCTGACTGGTACCAGCAAGTGGTGTCTCCTCTGAGCCAGATGTTCCTCTCATTGGCTCCAGAGATGAAGGAACTATTATTAGATAGTCATGAGCATGTGTGATAGCAGGGCTAGGAGAACCCTTTTCTTCCACAGCTGTGCTAAGGGCAGCAGACTCCCAGACTGGACAATTAGTGGAACCAGAAATCACTTCAGTTGTGTGCTCTTTTGGTCTAGTACCCAGCTGCCTTACCGGATGAGTTCTTCCAGGGGAAGTGCTAGCAGTCTCCACATCAATTTTAAGGGGCTCATAGGGATGTATGGCTTCATAAAGGCCAATTCCAGTTGCAGCCAGCAAGGGAGCATTGGTAATAGCATCAGTCAGCTGAGAAATATCACTGACTACAGCATCACTTTGAGAGCGAGATCTAGTTACTGGACTATGAGGGACCCCAAGGAGACCCTGTTCTGAAGAGGACTCTGGAGTGGTCATTTCCAGCACTGGAGAGCTCAATGTGTCACGCTCAACCGGAATGTTTGATATTCCTGGTGAACTAGGAGTTTGAGTTAACAGATGGCCCAGTCCAGCAGTGGCTGGCTTGGGAACAGAGTGCCTATGAGGCCTGGTTCCTCTGTGTCCTGGCAGAGCAGTAGGGAGAGTTGTCCCTCCACCACTCTGCAAAGGAAGCCCAGATGGTACCTCTGAGCTTGCCTGCACCACACCCTCAAGAGCTACCTTTAGTGGTGAAGCTGAAGCACCAGATGGGGCATGCAATTGTGCAGTAGGGCTGACGTGTATGGGTAATGCTGGCTGAGTAGGTAACTCACTAACAGGGGGTGTGACAGCAGTGAGCATCTCCCTGATCCCTATCCCTTCAGTGGGGCCTGCTAAGGTGTCTGGAACAGTAAGGGGGCTGAGAGAGGGGTGTTCTGTGAAGTGGCTCAGGTCACCCACATGCAGTGGCACAGAAGCAGGGGTGCTGGCGGGTCGTCTCATAGATCCTGGAGCTGTGGGCAGGTTAGTGGATTGGGACATACTAGCAGAAGCACTCCATGTGAATTTAGTCACATCTGACAGCCTAGCGGAACTGTGTCCCTGGGTGGACATGGTTACAGTAGGGGATGCCTCCAGGGAACTTTCTCTGGAAGGAGAGGCTGGCAGAGACACTGGCTGTGTCCCAGGGACAGTGCTGAGCCACACTGGCTCCACACGAGCAGCCTCACCACTGGCTTTGAGGGAGGAACCTGGTCGCCTATGGGTGATCAGTTCTGCAGGGCCTGAGCTAGTCACTTCCAGAGGAGACATGGAATCTGGCAAGTGGGTACTCAGGGTTAAGTTACTCTGCGTGGGAGCAGCTGCTGGGCTGGTTGGCAGGGTAGAACTTGTGATCAGTGACATTAAGTAGGACGGTTCTTTGCTTGCCCTGTATGTCTGAGGAGGAGAGGGCAGGAGTTTAAGCAAGACAGTGGCACTAGTTTTAGTGGCCTTCTGATCTCTGCTAGTGCTGGGAACCATGGGCATGGCAGAGTGGGTTGTTTTATACAGACCCCATGCCTCACTAGTGAGACTGTCTGCAGCAGCTGGTTGCTTTGTACCAGAGCTTGGACTTAAACGAGCAAGGGAGACAGCATCTGGAGAAGCACGTAGTGGCTGTGCAGATGCCTTTGGAGTGGAGTGCAATGGGTCATAGTGCATAGTGCTAGTATCTGTCCCAAGCACCATCAGTTCTGAGAGATTAGCTGGTACCACTTCAGCATTAGAGTCCATTGCTTCAATGGCCACTTTGGATGCCTGTAGGGAAGGCAACCGCAGGTCCCCCTTGGAGGATGCCTGCAGCCCCTTAGGGGAAAGCTTTGGGGAGCCTGTAATTTTAGCTTGTGCCCCAAGGGCCAGAGACGTGTCGAGTTTCAGAGTGCTCAAGTTGATGCCATGCCGGTCCTCGGCAGCTCCCGGTTTATAATCCAGACTTGCTCTTCCATCAAGTGTGAATGCAAAGAGTGCAGAGAACAGGCTCAAGTCATTCCATGTGGCTTCTGGGAGGCGTAGCTGGTCTGTGGGGGCTGCAGAATCTGCCTGCAAGCTTCTAGTGTGTGGCTCCTCCTGCACAGCATGCAGGCCAGTGTGTCTTTTTTCCATGTAGTTCAGTACGTGGTGGTTGGGAGTCAAGATGCTGCCAGTATTATTCTGGGACACAACTAAGTCAGGCTGCAAGGGTGAAGATGTAGGCACAGGGGCAAGAGGGTTCTGGCAGGGAGACACTGAAGACCCTTTGTTACATGCAGTGGTACTAGCAAGGAAGCAGGTGACCATAGCCAAAATGATTTGCCATCCATGTCCTCCGGCAGGCATCAAGGCAGCAGCAGGGCCTGGTGTTACTCTCATGGCTCCTCTTCTTCCTAGGGGAGCCCTTGTAGTATCTTGCCCTGAAGGCTCATCCAGATTTGGCGGTCCTGCCCCATGATTTATCATGGGCACTTGCATCATGGCAGCTCAGCTGTGAAAATCAGGAGATTAGCTATTTAAGTCTGCAGTTCTTCCCAGTTAAGGTAGCAGCTAGCTGAGCAATCCCAGTCCAAGGAATCCACTAGCCCAGATGGAGGGAAGCCCAAACTAACTCCTTTTATAAGCTGGGAAAGACCAGCACTCCAGAGGTTGAGCCAATGAGTGTCTTGCTGTCTACTAGTCAAGACCTACAGTGGGTTTTCCATAGCTACCCTCCCCCTAAAAAACACTCCTTCCCCTCTCCTTCATTCAGGGCTTTAAGCCATGATGGTTTCAAACCAAGCAGTTCTTCAATTTCTCAGCTAGAGTCAGTTTAACATGGGAGAAATAGAAGTGTCTTTCCTCCTATCTAGTGCTGGCAGTGACCAAGAAAAAGCCAGAGCCTCATGGTCTCACCACATTTGTATTGCAGCAGAAGTTGTCTATTAAACCTATTGATTAAATCTATTGATCTGAGGAAGTGGGTCTGGCCCACGAAAGCTCATCATCTAATAAACCATCTTGTTAGTCTTTAAAGTGCTACATTGTCCTGCATTTTGCTTCTATTAAACCAGTAACTCTAAGAGCCAGCTATGTTAAGTGGTTTAAAATAGTTGAGATACCATGTAAACATGAGTTCTCAGAAGATGCAACCATGCAGAATATAAGCTTTGGGATGGATTAGAGGTGCCTTCCTCCCCAGATCACAGCTACAGAGAGCCCTATTCTGGAAGGAGGAAGGGTGGGGGTTTTAGTCCCATTTCCCCTCTCCCCGCCCCCCCCCCACTGATTACAGAAACTGGGAGGCACCAACACATTCAGATGGGACCAGACACGGAGGCAGGAAGGAAAGGGATGTGGGACCATTTCCAGAGGATATGGCTGCACCCCTGCTGGCAGATCAGCACTTCTATCAAATTAATATGCTGGCTTGATAGAAAAGTCTGAAACCTGGGAGCCATAAAAAGGCATCTACACCATGTAGCCATTTTAAGAGCTTTAGCAGCTTCTCGTCTGCTTCCAGTGGGGCCACCATCACAAGGTTAACACTATAGACAGCAGGCACTAGAGGGGCTAAGGAAAAGAGGGCAGGTGCCAATTCCAAATCCTGAGGAAGAGGCCTTTGTTATTAGGCAATATCACCACTACAGCCTCCCAGATCACATGTGTGCTGGCTATACAGGAATCAGGCTGGTTTGTACTTGACTGGCTACACTATAGTGCCACAGCCCATTCCACTAGAGCTAAGCATACTCAGACATAACAGAGGCATATACAAGCTGGGATGCACCCCCTAGTTTGTAGTAGAGGCATAGGCTAGCTGCTGGTGGGTTCTTAGCTTTAGTATGCTATCTGTGTACAGCAGGAACTGCAATGGCCACCCAGGCTAAGCCTCTGGGTCTCGAAGACTTGTAAAGCAAGTCTAATGCCGAGGTGGAAGCAGCCCTTGTAGGCACAGCAAGAGTCAAGCCCAAGAAGCAGCTTCAGCTAGTGGAAGATACTATGCACTTGTATACTGAGGGGCTCTATGAAGCTTTACTGAAGGAGTAATAAGCATTGGTGAGACTAGAGTTATAACCAGCTACAGCCATAAGAAACACATGGCTACACAATAGGAGAGAGCTCTAAACATTAGGCTAGGCATTCTAGGTTAGAGTTAACTAGTGGGAGAAAGGAAGCCAATTGTAGGCTAAGAAAAACCCTAAAGTAAGGCTGCCCCTTCCAAAGCCAGGTAGGGCTAAAGCCACTAGGAGACACACACAGGAAGATAGAGTACTAAGTCTCAATGCCTAGCTGCTTGTTCTCAGAGTGGTTTTCTACAGCAGTTTAGAACACCAGCTTCTTCCCCCCTCCCCCAGTGCTTTTTTGGCTTTTCGCTGTTTTCTACAGCAGTTTAGAACACCAACTTCCTCCCCTCCCCAGTGCTTTTATGGCTTTTTCCCCTCAGACTACAGCTATCAAGTAGACCATGAACACAAGCCCAGGAAAATGGAGCTCAGCTGTCTCTCAACAAGTTCTCACTTCTCTGAGAAGAAGCCTAGACATCATAACCCAGGGCTCCTGACAAGCCACTTATAGACACACACATAATTAGGCTAGCTACCTAGAACAGTGGTTTCCCTTGGGCATGGCATGAAGGGACCCAGTCAAACCTTACAGGCCACAGACATTAGAATTAACACTTGTAGCCAGACTGGCTCCTAGCCAAGCCCCAGCACAGGGATTTCTGTGCACAAAACCAGTTATGCTTTCAGAAGGCACACCAGAGCCTAAGCAATCATTTTATCCCAGCCCCTTAACCACTTTGCTTTTTCAACAACCCTCCACTGAGTCTTACCTTAGAGCTGCTGCCCAGTCACCCACACACAGGAGAAGGGTACAAGCAGCAGCTCAGAGACCTGCTCTTTTATTTCATTGGCACTGAGTTGTGGGGGATGGGTGTGCAAGAAGGAAGTAACAGCTGAGGCCCAGGTGGCCCGGTTCCTGGTTAACCCACTTTGCACCTCCCCATGTGAAAGCTCTTCCCACCACAATGAGAGGGAGGAGGAATCCACATTTTCTGTGAGGCTTTGGCTGCAGGAACTGGGCAGTGTGTGTCATTTTCCCCCAGCCCATCTCCCTCCAGACACAACACAAGCGCCTCACAATGCCATGCCTGTCTGGACAGGCCCTTAACATATTGCTGCTGTGATGCATGGGTGGAAGGGTTGCACCGGTTGGCCTCTCTAGCTCCAAAAGGGGGTGTGGAATTTGAAGGCAGCAACATATTGCTGCTCCCTCACTATTTACTACTGAAAGAGCTGCAGAGCAAAGATAGACTTGGGATCGCAATTGAGTGTGGCCCAGCACAGGGAAATAAGTCTGGAGCGAGATGATGAGAGCTAGGCTAAAGGACAGCTAAGGAGACTGGTCCTAGCTCTGACAATTTTGCATCAGTGGGCAACAAGTGTGTGCCCAGGATAAGTCTATGTAATATGGAGATAGACCTAGCTCATAGAGTTGGAAGGGACCTCAAAAGATCATCAAGTCCAGTCCTCTGCCTTCACAACAAGACCAAGTACCATCCTGGCAGATTTGCCCCAGATCCCTAAATGGCCTCCTCAAGGACTGAACTCACAACCCTGAGTTTAGCAGGCCACTGCTCAAACCCCTCAGCTATCTCTCCTGAGACCAAGATATGTACCTGTCAGTGTTTGAAAGATTAGAATGAAAGAGCATTTGAAGTGACAGGATAAAACCTTTCTGTTCAGGCACCAAGTGGACCATCTAAACTCAGGATGGCTAACAGCTGTTCAGAAGCTCATGTGGATGGGTCGGGCTCCTAGTGGACAGGTGGCCAAGTTAAAAACACAGCTGTCATTCTAACTGGCCCTATTTGAGCAGGAAATGCCAGGACTGACTGGTTAGTGAGCTCAATCCTAGAGGTGGTTGCTCCAACGTTATGGTAGTTGGGGGGACAGGTGCCATGTTAGCCAACAAACCAGGGATTCATCCTGAGACCTGCAAAGCCTTTAAACAAAATCCTACACAGGGTGTTAGAGCCAGCTTATCCCCCTACCTCCGAGCAGTAGCAGACCCACATCCTCTGTGGAGCACTACAGAGAGGGTCTTGTAATGCACATTTGCCAGTGGCTTACTTTTGCACTGCTCCCATCTGTCCTGGAGCTAACGAGAGGTCTTTGGTCTCTAGGAGTATCAATCTAGCACACTTCTTGAAAATTTGCATTCTGTCCTTCCCTCCCCCCAGGATTGTTTTAGCACACTCATTGCGAGTTCTGGGCTAGCAGCTTGCCTGCTGAATTGATCTAGAACATTATATCAGCTTGTGGAACAGCATCTAGCTAGACCACTGTAATATTCAGAGAGCCAGGAACTATAGCTACTCCACTTCTTGGTCCCCTGTTTCCCTTGACTAGCAATACCATTTACAGATATATTTTCAGTACCTCTCAGCAAATCACAGGTCACTTTGTTAAATAGCTGAGTATATAAGCTGCTAGCTAGTGTATAAACCAGTGTGAGCTGCATCCTGCTTCTAGCTGGCTCCACATTTCTGTAGCACCCTGGATAAGTCACTCAACTCCATCTCAGCTTCCTGTGCTGGGGAGAATAACAATGCAGATGTTTTGTGAGGCCTAATTCATTAATGTTTGTCCAGTGCATTGTGAAGATGCTATAGCTATGCAAGGTGAAGTTGTTTTATAAGCACCTGTTCTTTCTAGATGTCCGTGCTGCGTGACATTTGAAATGAAACTGGATTGTTCCTGACTGGTGGGCATCACAGGGCCTGGGCATCATACTGCTGCATACTCACCGGCTGTGTCTAGACTGGCAAGTTTTTCTGCAAAAGCAGGTGCTTTTGCGGAAAAACTTGCCAGCTGGCTACACTGGCCGCTTTAATTT